TTTTTTTTTTTTTTTTTTTTCCTTAACCTTTTATTACCTCTCCGAGTATTTTATTCCAACTTTAAAGTTTGTTGAGGTTCCCCCATAAATTGAAGTTATACATTTTTGTTTAAAATAGATTAATAATCCCCTCAAATGTTTCCTTTTGTGGGGAAACAAGGCAATTAGGCTGCATACCTTTTTAAAAGCCAACAGTGCCGTGCTGCGTAACTGCCGTAGGTGTGTAAAAATGAGCGTACATATGTTTTTCTCCCGATCATGTGAACTTATCCAAACGCACACACAAAGGTATAAATATAATTTTGTGCCCCTAAGTGTGCCATATGCGTATCCTTGTAGCTACACAAGCATCGCAATCGACTTACCCCATTGGCATAGAATAAATGGGTACTACTTAAAAGGTGAAATAGTGAGCTATATGTTGGGGGAGACACACGCACAACTTCGAAATATGAAACGTTTCACAAATATAACATAGCGCAAAGGGGAAAAAGTGTATATACGATGATGAATTCGCCATTTTGGGAAAAGTAAGCTTCTATCATATGACAGGGGAATAAATAAAAAGATCCTCTGCGTGAGTGTTCTTTCTTTACATAGAGGTATCTCTTCCATGTGTGTAACATGGCACAAGTACAATTGCAACATGGTGTAGTAATGAAAAAGGGCGTATACCTTTAACATGACGAGGTTGTTAGCGGAGTCGCAAAGGGCACTGTATAGAAATGAGCGCATTTATTGGGAAAACCACACACGAGGGAATTACGTTATGCGATAAAGACAACGTGGCTACTTGCACGGAAGCAATATCACCTTTTTGCTGCGTCTTTAAAAATTAAAAAAAGGAGGATAAAGAAGGGGGATGTTTAGTAGGGGGTATAAAAAAAAGGCAACATGGAGTGCCATAGCGTCCGTTAAAAATGTGGACATGTGTATGCACGTAGGCATGCAAGAACGCATCATCATACTGGGTGTGACACTGGAAGGACATTTAAAGAAGGCCATGTGCCTGATTTTAACAAATTAAACGAGACATAAATGCGTCATGATGAAGTAACATCGTGCTACGCGGGTGGGATTAAAACGGCTGTCCCTTGGGCTGGCGCACATACACGCATCTGTACACAAGCGTGCATGCGCAGGTGCGCCCAATCCATTGTTCATACCAGGTGGCCCATGTGACCACTGCCACATTTGTGAAAAAAAAAAAAAAAACAAATGCTGGTTGGGGAAAATACAAAGTTGGGTAAAGGTGTCCCCTAATTTTGACTTTTCATTCGTCCGTTGGTGCATATCATTATAGCACTGTTCATGTGACGTTGTCAGTTAGAGGGGAACATATAAAAAACCAAAAAAAAGAGGCATGTTATGGACATCCTTCCCTTTTTTTACGATATGAAAATACGAGTTTTTCATTCCACGTTGTGCTTTTCTTGGCACCATATTTCGAATGTTCTCCCATTTATATATTATTCATGTCGTACTTCATTCTAAAGAGCTCAGTTCTGAATTCTATGAACGCGCTGATTAAGGCGGACAGAGTGATTTGTTCGTTAGCCCCAGAGGAACACCTTTCCTCGATTTCACCAAAATTTTTAAGTAACAGGCACACGGCAGAGTCAGGAAAATCATAAGTTAAAATGGATTCATAGAGATTCACCATAATATCCTTTATTGAGTATCCCTTAGTGCTCTGTAATTTGGTAACAAATTCGTACGATTCTTTGATGGTACTTTTAGTTAAATGTCCTAATATGTCTTTAACCTCTTGCGGTAAAGGTATGTCTAACGTTGACAAAATAACGTTCTGATCAATGGTCATATTTTTATGACTCAATGAAACGACTTGTAAACAATTTAAAATTCTTCTCATGTCTCCTCGTCCAACATGTATGAGACTCTCCAATCCATCCTTCGTGAGATCCACATTTTCTGATTTGGCAATATCTAGGGCTTTATTAACCATATTTTCTTTCTTGAGGGGAGAAAATCTGAATGAGGTACACCTCGATTGAATTGCTGGGGTTATCTTATTTACATAATTACATAATAAGCAGAAGCGGACATTCTTAGCATAGTTTTCCATGATTCTTCTCATGGCATTTTGTGCGGGGTAGGTCATATGATCTGCTTCATCCAAAATGATTAATTTTAGCGAAGTCTTTTCGCACGTATTGTAATGATTTTTCGATTCTGCAAATGTTTTTATTTGATCTCGAACTACACTTATTCCTCTATCGTCAGATGCGTTTAATTCTAATACAAAGGATCCTCGTGACTCACCATACAGTTCTTTGCACACAGCTAAAATGGTGGATGTCTTTCCTGTCCCTGGGGGCCCATGTAACAGCAAGTGGGGCAATTCTCCCTTTTCCACAAACTTCTGGATTGTGGATATGACTTGTTCGTGCGAAATTATGTCATTCAGCACGTTTGGCCTGTACTTTTCCACCTACGCGGGGAGGTAAGCGTAAACACAAAGGGGGTGAAGTAAAACGGGTAGAAGAAAAAAGGGACCATGTGTTTACCATACGCTGGTGTGGCGCTCTCCAATGTAAGTTTACACACTAATACGAGTATCTGATGATCATAACGCATTCATCGGACGGGTGCAATATAATCTACTAAACGTAATATGCTACACACGGAGGGGGATGGTCTACCCATTGGGTTTTTCTGTTCCCTCCTTTTAACGTAAACATGAATACATTTTCATCGCTCCACGCAAGCTACATTACAAGGAAACGACATATGCACAACAACCTCCCCAACTGCTACGAACCACTGTGCGCAATTCGGAGTACATTTTGTCACAGCGTCAAGAGGATAACCCAAGCGAGCATACGCGCACGACACCTTGCGATGTCATTCCATTTATAGGTTGAGCATTCATTCGGAATACAATTTTTTCTTTATCCTTACCCATGGTGTGAGTTCTTCTATCTTCTGGATTTGAACTTCCGCCATTTTAAAACACTGCGCTGCGATTGCTATTTTGGGAATCACTTTCCGGGGATTCTTTCACATAACTTTCATTTAGGAGAATTCACTTAAGTGCCAAAATGAAAAGTTTCGTTTAAATTAATTTTTGTAAAAGGAGGGAAGCATTCGAAAAAAATTGTGATATATCAGTGAGATTTTTTTTTCTCTTTTTAAATTATATTTGTCTTTTGAAAATTAAAAAGGCTTTATTTTTATGCGATTATGCTTGGCTGTTCTTTCTTAGCAAAGTTTTTTTTTTTTTTTTTTTTTTAAATCCTCAATTTAAGAAAGGGAGAATACACGCGCAATTCGTTTTTCCACTTTTCACATTTTATGATTTACGTGAAATTAGTAATGTACTTTTTTTCGCCACAGCAAAGGAGGGGTTGAGGAAAAGGCCACTGTGATGATTTCATGGAAATATAATCGCCTCGCATGTATGCACATGTGTACGCACTCGTTTTCGCCTACACGTAGATGTTCATTGGTGTATCAATTTTTTTCGAGGAATCCCGTTTTATATTCACCATGCTTTGCTTAAAAAACATCGTCGTAAGGAGAATTCCGTATGCTCTTCTCTAAGCCCAGACCCTTGGGTTAATAATATAACGAGGCTTTTTTCTTTGTCATTCCCGCCTCTCGAAATATTTTTAGAAGAAAATAGGTGTATAATACACACCGCGTAAATGCAAACAAAACTGAATATTTTTTTCCGAACAGATGTTAAAATTGGACTTAAATTTTTTTAGGATATTTAAAATTCGAAGGGGAAAGAACACGGAGTGTGTGCCATTTATTTATGTAACCATTTAATGACACTAATGAGTAGCACGCTTAGCACCATTCTTTGGGTGTAAAGGCGATGTCATTTAAGTTGTGGTGTGATGGAAGAATACCTTTATGTTGCATTACCTTTCCGTGGAATACGCAGCTAAAAAAAACAAAAGGTTGACACTGCTAATTCAGGGCTTAATTTTGAAAATAGCCATGCGTACAAGGGTATTTCTTCCCACTCATACACTATGTAAATATTTTGTTCCCTATGCCATTTATTTTTATCTCAAAAGGAGGCATAATTTAAAAGTATATTCTCGATTTCAATTGTCTTACTGGAATCAAGCGAGCAAAATAATTTTTTTAAAATGACAGGCATACTTTTTTTTGTTCTTTAATTTCGAGTGCTACAATGTGGGATGTGTAAAATTGGCGAATTAATTTTTTTTATTTGTATTGCTGAAACGGGAGGATGTTCTATTAAGGAGAAAAATGCAAAATAAAGCAGAGCATAGCAAAATAGAACAGTGTAAAAAAAAAAAAAAAAGTACGATGGAAAAGTGCCACCCACGTCAAATCATGCATAAAGAAAATGACAAATTGCTTAGTTCCATTCTACACACATTAGAAAGGTTTATGCATGAAACGCTCTTCACAGTCTAAAAAAAAAAAAAAAAAGGAACTGGAGGGGAAAAAACTTATTTCCTGAAATGGTGTGCATATAAATGTGCTTGCACATATGATTTCTCCCACCAGTCCACTTTTAGGGCTCCTCACAGCTGTCCCTTTTGAGGAGTATATCGCACATGCATGGCTTAAAAAATAAAATGTTCCAAAATAACAATGCCACAGTGTTGAAAGGTCGTACACAGGCACGAGGTTGTATGCACACCTTCCCGCCCAACGAATGAGTTAATTGCCTGGCAATTTTTCACTCGCAAATAATTTAAAAAAGGCACAAAAAACAGAAACATATGTCATTTTGACCCATTTACCCAACGCGAATGTACACACATGCGATCATTCCAGAGGAAATAATGACCCTAAAAATTCCCTATAAAATTAAGTGATGTTCGCTTAATTTTTGGCAAATTTTATGCCAAGTTCTCATGTGTACATTAGCACATACATATATATGTGGCAAGCCTTAAGCTTTTTTGTGCTCTTTGTTTCACAAAGCACTAACGTGCGAACTTTTTCTTGGTTGTCCGCCCAAGCATTCGAGAGGACACCAATTCCCTGGCACCTACATAGGCGTGTTTGTGTGTGTGGAAAAGTTTAGTATTTCCATATGTGCCACTGTACGCATACGATTATGAAATATATAAAGGGAGTTATCCACAGAGACAAATGAGAACACTTCATGCCTGAAAAATATGTACATATGAATTTGTCTAAGAAATGGGGAAATAGAATGGCGCACATACGCTGATGTTGCGAAATAATGAAAGAAGCGTACACACCGTGCAGTTGTGCAAAGACGCTTCGATCGACTTAGAGTAGCCGCTACCCCCTGGGTGGAATTATCAACGCTCATCATTATAAACAATGGATGACTTGGTTTGTTTAAAGTTATTAAGATCCAGAAAAAGGTGCAACCACAATGACATACATAGTATTCTGCCCAACGAATGTAATGACATAGTAGCTCTGCTTTTGTTCAAAGGGAGAAATAAGGCTCAAGATAAAGGCCTTAATTTGTGCTTCAATTTTTTCAACAGTCGTAATAGTGCCAATTTTTTCCTAAACAGTGATACGCAAAACTGCTTCTGGATATATTGCGACAAGGACATTTTTACAAAAGGGAAAAGTGTGCAACATCAAGTTCCCGTTTTGGTTAAATTGGAGGAAAAATGAAAAATACAAAAAAAAAATAAAAATATTTAAACACAAATTGTAGCCTTTTTTCAATTCACCATTTTCCTTCTGAAACCCCCCTTCTTAGATATCCCAACAAACTGCCCTTTTGAATTTCTACAATTTTGCACATGTCAATAACATCAATGCTCACCTTGAAAATCGAGAAATAAGGTACAATGAGAGAACAACATGTGTTCCTTGTCGCTACTAAAGAAATGTGCATTTATATTTCCAATGGGTCATGAGTGCGCCACATACGTGCACCTTCTCTCCCTTTTAACAAATATAGACGCCCCATCATCTGTTCACTTCCCCCCTTTTCAGAATTCAACGTAACTCTCTTCAGCTTGATATTTATAAAAAGGCACACACGCATGGAAAGTCAAGTGAAAGGAATAAGCTGTACAATTTTTATATTTCCTACGATAAGCTCTTTAGCTTTGTCGTTTCGTTGAATGTAAGAATGGAGCATATGCACCTGAGAGTTCACTCAAGTGGAAGGGATGCACTCCTTCTGTAATGCGTGCAGTGTTCTTTTGTTTTTACATCCAGCTCTTTGCATTCTTGCCCTCATACAACATAGCACATTTGTAATACCGCCTTCCCAATGAGCAGAAAAAGCTCTCCTTTTTGGACTCGTTCAATGAAAAATTTGTGAAAATAATTCCGAAGGGGGAAAGGTAAGGCTTCTTGATGGCGCGCAGCAGAATTTTGTCACACCCCCTACATGATAGAGTTGAACAAGAAGAATCAGACACATGGATGTATGAAGTCATAATCTGTGTAACACCACCTTTTTTTTTCTTTTTTTTTTTCTTTTCTTTCCTTTAGCTCCCTCTTCATCCTGCTGAACGACATAGTCTGTATTAAGCTGATAGCCAAAGGACTAAGGTGAAATGACTGAGAGGGTTCTCTACCGAGTGGATATATATGTGGGGGGGGGGGATAACTAAATGCTCATAGACATGCGCGTGAAGTGCTTTTCCCGCTGTGATGATCTCCTTAGGATCGCCTGTTTGACTTACTTTTGTGATGTGTATATATGGCCCTTTCCGTTCGTTTGAATTTCCCCCCCCCCATTTTACAGCTTAAAAGTGACAAAAGTATCAAGCCTGCAAAACATTCTGACAAATGTTCGTGATTATATTTACTTCCAGAAATGTGTTTATAGGTAGGGACAAGGAAGAGTAGTAGCTACCCCATTTTGTAGGAAAACATGTTGCATTGTTCGATTTCTTTCCTTTTTCTTTTTTTTTTTTTTTAACTTTACGTAGAAATGACAAGCTATTCATTTTAACGCTGACGGCTCAGCAATTTTTGCTCATCTTCAATGGGGGGGAAACGGCCCACTTGGCAATAAATATAAATAAGCACTGTAATGTTTTATCCAGAGTCTTTTTTTTTAACACAGCGGAGTTGTTCGAATGTTTGTGATCTTGTGAGAGAGGTGTACGTATCGCTTCAGTTATATTATAAATTTTATTTTTCCTTTTTTCTTTTTTCCGCGCAGTGAGAACCTTTTTCACAGACTTTGAAGTTAGTCATGATCTGTCGCACGTATTGCTGGTCGACTTGTGCAACCAGATTTGGTCCTTTGATTTAGAAATGTAACTATGCCACTTATGCGAAATAATAAAAGAAAATAAAACGTAACAGATGAGTGTAATAACGGAATATGCTGTTAACACGTTGCATACATGCTAATGGTGAAGTAGCACTTTTGTGGCAAATCTCCACCACGCTTCCGCGTACAGGTACTATCGTCTTAATTTGGGCAGTGGAAAAAATGAAGGGATTTTTACGAAGAAGCAAAAAATAAAAAACGTTGAAATTTATTCGTTACAGACAAGGGCAGAACCATTCAGATATGTAGAAATTTGCCAAAATGGGGATGAAGAAAATGAATTCATCCATTTTGAGGGAGGTAAAAGAAAGGTAAAGTTCAACTTTGAATCGTATTTTCCAGAATCCTTTAAATTAAGACAGAAGTGGATTTACGTAAATGCAACGTGCAGGAGAGAAAAGGATAACAATGTTATTAGCATATGGAATTACAAAATTTTGGAGAACTCCAAATATGCTTACATAATTGGTGAAATTAAAAATCGGTGTGGAGTAAAATGGAACTTGTACCAATCTGCACAGCGAGCAGAACGATCTGAAGACAACGGGAAGAACAGCCATCGGGAAAATTACACCAGAATGTTATATTACTATGAATGGGTTAAAAGACCCACCTGTTACATAAATTCTTTGAATCATTTTACTGAATATGATGCGTGCAAACTTGAGGATGTAGGGAGCAATGATGCAAACGTCTTGGGATATGAACCTTTGGAAACTAATAGCGAAGAGTCGAAAGGGTCTTATGGCATAAAAATGGATTACCACCTTGCCAAGAAGTACAGTATTCACCAGAATGAGGAAATGTATCGACACGTGGCTGGTCGGACAAGTGAGGGTGTCAGCAGTGTGGGAGAGATATATGCCGTGAGTGCCAATATGGGTATCCCTAAAAATGGGAAACCAAGTGATTGCTATACCTACGGTGCAGACCCACACAGGTGCGGCCACAAAAGGGGGGACTATTCCGATGTAGAATTGTGCGTCCCCCATAACGCCTCCACTGCGCACAAACCAGAGGATCCCAATTTAGAGCAATCCATAAAAAGACTTAATCAGATACTCCCAAAATATATACAACACATCCACGTGTATGATGACTTCAATGATGTAAAAAATTTATTCCTCATTAAGCATTTCCTAAAGTCCAATAATAAACGTGGACATAATTTGCACAAGGCGAAAAATAAAAATACCCTATATGGTAAAAAAGTGAGCAGCGTAAAGTTACATTTATGTAGAAACTATTTTTTTGTTGAATATGTACACCGTCCATGGGAGCAACAGGTAGAGGAAGGTAGAAAAACTGAGCGATACCTAACTGTTCTCAAAAGGGAGAGTAGCAAGATTGAGTTCCTATGTACACTGAAGAATTACAACTATTTCTACCTGAACAATAAATGGCATGCTCTGATCCATGTTGAAGATGTTCTATGCAAAGTGCTATTCAAAAATTACATGCACGCTCTGTTCAGCACCAGTGCATACAACGAGAGGGAACAGACAGAGGGAATTCTAAAAATGAATAATATCAAAAGGCATTACCACTACTTTGTCATGTTATACAACGGGTTCTTAAACAAAGACATGAATTTAATTAGAAAAACCTTGAGAATACTTTCCTTCAAAGCAACGGTACTCCTATGCAGGATGCTATTTCACTACATTTGGAGTAACTTCAATATGGAAATAATTTATTTTTACTTCTTTCATTATTTTTCCTTCGTAAATCATGTGTGGAAAAAGAAATACAAACGGACGATGAGCAGTTTTATGAGCATTATAAAACAGAAAAGGGAGTGCATAAGAATATACATGGCAGTGTCTCTGCGACAAATCTCTGACATAGTTGATGTGATAGGAAAGAAGTACCTCTGTTTTCAGGAGAGCAACGAATTTGAAAGATCGGAGATGCAAAATGGGGTTGGGGAAAATGGTAAGGACATGCATAATAGTAATAAAAAGAAGAAAAAAAAAACTGTCAACATGAATATTGCACTTTCCAAAGGGATACAAACTCAAAGGGGAAATTTACAAAACTGCTACGAAATGTTAAATGAGCAAAGTGGAACATCTCTCATTGCTCAGAGCAGTTCACCCAAAGGTGGAACCTTCGCAGATGGCCATTTTGGTCACGCAGCATCGAAGAAAAAGACGCAGGGGAAAGCAGAATTGGTAGGGGATCCATCTAAAGACAACCCACGTTGTAATAACTCAACCCAATTGAAGAAGAGCCCAGCAAAAGAGGGAAATAAGACATCCAGGTGCACAAACCTCAACTCCGATATATCGTCTTACGGCAAAAGAACGAAACCTGCCACGGATGATAGCAGCAGCAGCAACAACAACAACAACAACGACGACGACAGGATAAACATCCACAGAAATGATGACAACAAATATATAAAAACATTTCTCATATACTACTTCGAAAAACTGTGCTTTCGCGATAACTACAATTTATTTTTGAATAAACAGTACAGCATCGAAATGTGCTCGCTGACATTACACTTTATCATATCATTTATAGACCACGTTGTAAAGAAAAAACGATCAAGGGGGAACAACTCCAGAAAAAGGAACAAGGCAATTTTTCTTGAACTTAATAAATATATATACTTTACTAAACTTTTGATGAATGTACTTCTAGGCAATTACGAAATGAAAGTAAAACATACAACCAGAAGAAATGTGAGTCCGGGAAATGGCTGGGAAGATATGAAATCTTTTGAAAATTCGAATGGCACATTGCACGAACCCAATTTTTTCAGTTCCACCTATCTTAATGTGTACAGTATGTATGATTCGATATCGAAAATATTGTACGTAAAAAAATCGGCCTCCGATAAGATAGGTAAGCTCCTTCAGGGAGATAACACTCTGGACAATGCTAGCAGTAGAGGTGAACTAAATGGCCACGTGCATGGGCAGGCAGACGGTCAGACTACTACTCAGTTGAAAAGTAAAGGGGATAAAAAAAGTACCAAGTGGAATGATGGAGAGTTGCTACCCCCTGATGAATCGTGTCACAACTCTAATGGGGAAAATTCCCCAATGGTGGGGAAACCAAGCGCAAAGGATAGAAGAGTAAAAAGGAGTGACCTTTGTATTTCTGACCGTTCGAAAGTAACTTTAACGGGAAGTAATCTTAGGGTTCACGAAACTCCTGAGGAGGCGTACATCGCATCGAATCATAAAACAGACAATGCTCAAAATATTAGGAATCTCGTTTTTTACCTGTGCTACTGTTTTATCGTCACTACGAAGAGTAAAAAGAAAGGGCTCCCATATTTTTATATGAAAGACGTGCTATATAGGGAGGTCGCTACCTCGAATAAGTTACTTTGTGCCGAGCGCCCTTTCGACAGCGTCATTTACGATATACTCAATACCAATGATTTAAGTACAGTAATTTATTACATTTACACGAAGCAGTATGAATTCTTTTTGAATTTCCTGCTCCTATATTTTAACTACAACCTGTTGCACAATTTTTTGCAAAACAGTCGAGACGACTTTGTGAGGAACTTCGCTTATGGCATTGCTCGGGGGGGTGCGAACAGCGGGGAAAATCAGAACAATTCGAAGGATGTTCCCCAGGGGGAAAAAACGCCTACAAAAGATATGACGACAAAGCAGACGACGAAGAAAACGACGAAGCTGAAGATAAAGATAACGGTAAAGACAAACAAACAGACTAAGGAGAAGAAGGAAGTATATAACACCCTTTTCAACAAACTGCTAAGCGCCATTATAAACGACTCTGGAATTACAATTAACAAGGGAGAGACGCACAAATGTAGCACCTTTATTGATTATTTGTTGAAGGCCCAGGGAGGCAACTCTTCAATAACTGGCAAAGAAAATGAAAGGCTGGTTATTCGCAAAAGTGGGGTTGCTTCCGGGGAAACAGTTACCTTGTGGAACTCCACCAATGGGACAGCGAACGGGGGGTGCAAGCCGAATGGAGAAATTGGTTGCACACATGATAAATCCTTGGTTAAGGGAAACCACAACAAGGATGAAGTGCAAAGCGGTAAAATGAACTCCACATGCAACCGTGTTATTGAAGAACTTTCAATGTGCTCCCCACATAAAATGCAACTCGAAGAAAGGAAGCACACATTGGACAACAACGTATTGAAGATATACAAGATGTACGACACTCTGAATGATTGTTTCACAAAATTAAAAAACGAAATTCAAGTAAAAAATATAAACACATTTTTACATTTTCACAATGATATAAAAAGAATTTTAAAAAACAACTTAGTAAATGTAATCATGGACATATACAAATTAGTCATGGAAGATAAAATGGAGTGTAATTCTCATTTTAAGGGAAACGTAATGAATCACTTGGTGAGTAATGCGAACATCCCATTTTGCTTTATCCATTTGAACCCCCAAAAGATGGTGATAAATTACTATGGAACTATCATATATAGGCTACTATGCAACAATATAGACACCTACCTAAACGTGTGTGTACGCATATTAAAAGTACTATGTGTAGATGTGTTGAAATATTTAAAAAAAATTGCCCTAAATACTTTGAAGAAATATATAAGAAATAAATTACTCCTATTTTTGCATAAGAATGGTTGCGCTTTTAGTGTAGCGGATAAAAGGGCCATCAAATTTGTATCTATTCTGGAAATCTTTTACAGAAAGAGTTCCTACGTAGCTGAGCATAACAGTGCATACACCGATTATATGTTGAACAGAACTATTTTTAATCTTTATCACAGTGCAGGCTTTTTAGATGCACTGAAGAAGAAATTACACCATGGTGGCCACAACTACGTTCATGACATAATATACAAAGAGAAAAGACCCTTGAGGGTTCTTTCTCTCCTTAACATGTTCGATGCGTCTAACATGGAAAACACCCAATTTGTCAACCATTTTGATCACGCCTCGCATTTGTTTGTGCCGTTTGTTATTCAGAATTTTTTCAACACATACTATGTTCAGGGTAGGAGAGAAATGCGTGGGGAGGAGGTCACAGGGAGGACGAAAAGGCATAATATGAGGGAAAGAAACAAGGCCCACTCGCAAGGTCCAAAAACCATAATAAGCCATTGTTCACTAAACTGGATAAATACCAAACGGAGGGATAGGAAGAAATGCCACCTAGTTCGAATGAGAAATGGTTACTTGATCAAAATCAGGCACAATACAAGAATGAACAACAAATTGCGCCACACAGGCAGGGATGAACTGGCTATACGCCGGAGCTATAAAATTGAACCATCCATTTGGGGAAGAAGAAAAACATTAAATATGCACACAAATGAGTACACCAAAATATATGAACCGCTTCCAACAACAGATTTGTTCTACGAAAATTTGAAAAGATTACCCCTCGAAGGGGGAACACAAAAGATTGATATTACGTCCCATTTTGGAGGAACAGATAAGGATAATATCACCCCCGAGTGGGGTCTCCCCTCTGGTGGGCACAATGAGAAAGACACAAAGAATGAAGCAAAGGAAGAAGGACATTTTAATTCTACAATGGTGAATGTTGCCACACGTCAACCAAAGAAGAACCCCAGTTGCGAAAAGAAATATTTTAGCAAAATTTCCAGCTGCTATTACAAAAGCAGAAAAGGGAATAACAACGTTGTGACATTTAACATGGCGAAGAATTGGATGAAATTGAAAGGGGAGGAAGTAGACGACTTGACAAATATCAGTTACAAAAATTTTAGCAGCAATATAATTAGTGAAAGGTGTAATATGCTCTTTAGGGGTAAAAATTTTTACAGGCCTTGCAAAAAAAAAGGAAGAAAAGAATACTCTTTCAATTTTGACAACTATGACAACGAGTGTTATTGCTTTTGTTGTGTTGGTACTCAGGTAAAAAGAGGAGAAGAGAAAGGTAAAAAAGAAGGCAAACAAATTATTCTGGCTGATTATAACTATAGCAATGTTGACTCGGTTGATAATTTTGTAGTACACAATAATCAGACCATAGAGACAATCTCAGAAATTGTTAACAAAGAACGAATTGTTGCTAATGAGAGAAATCTTAAAAGCGCTTACGTAAATGATACGTTTGTAATTGAGCAGAGGGAGAAGGCAACCCCCGAAAACATGTTAATGAGAAGAAACATGTCGGGGGAGAAAATCTCTCGCACGCGTGTGAAATGTCAAGAGGAGGGTGAAGAATTATCCAAGACATTAGCACAATTTGAAGAAAATAAAAAAGGGGAACACCCCATTGAAAAACCTTATTACCGACTAACCCCATGCGATTTTCGTGGCAGTGGTTCCTACCTGTGCTGTTCCATAGACATGTTAAAAACTGTAAACAGAAACATCATGATTAGAATTATTTTACAAAATAGGGGCATGAACTTTTTGTACTTCCTTATGAAATATTTTGCCAAGAAGGAGACCCATAAAGGGTTTTCTCAAACTGGGACTTACACTCTCGAGGGGGAACATACCAGGGTGAGAAGCGCAACAGGGGGAAACATCCACCATACGAAGCACTCCAAAAGGGGGAGAAGTTTATTGGCGTTTTCAGCTCTACAAAAGGAATCACTCACCGATCATCGGCGTGTCCTTAAAAATGCACATGTCAAAATCGAAGCGAATAAAGGAAAGCGCGTCGGAATTGAGCAGCACCTTCTGGAAGACAACCCCATTTATAAAAGCGTCCTTTTAAAAAACAGACGTGGGGGAAAAAACAAAATAGAGGCAAAAAATTTATTCTATGAATTAATCAAACTTATAAACATAAAATCGTACAACTCTCGTTTATTTTTGCACACCCTGGAGTACTACGCAGATAACAGCGACTTGTCTGGGCTGTTCACCCTTCTGCAAACGCTAAAACATTTTAGCGATAATTTCTTCCAAACGGTTCACAAATCGGCTGAGTTTAACTTTTACGAACAGGTTAAAATTGGGAAGGGTATCCATCGGGTCGGATGTAAACGGGGTGAAGAGCGGAATCATCACTTGGGGGAACAGTCCACATTTGCGCAAGAGCCGCAAAGGAGGAGTGGTCAACACCTGGATAAATATGAAAAAAGTTTTTTAAAAATAATAAGTTACATTCAAAATGAGTTCCGAAATGAGTGCACACCTTACATTTACAATTTTGTCGAGTCAGTACTGGAGGCACATGGGATTTTCCTTTTAAATTTTGACTCATTGTATAACGTAAAAATTTTGCACCACCCCCCTGGTAGTGAAACCAGCCCAGGTGTGCCAGCAAATGGGGAACCCGCAAAAACGTGTGTCTTAAATAATTTTCCCAAAGTGCAGGAAGCCGTAAAATGCCACCTCTTCCGTGCTAGTCGCTCCAAAATGAGCGCTAACAACACAAACAACATCTGCTACTCCATGATGGTGAAACTGAGCAGGAATTTTCTATGTTTAAATTATCTATCATACGAAAATACTAGAAGCAGAATTAACATAAATATCTCCGTAGGAAAGGACAGCAACCTCATGCAGTACAGGGAAAAGTACCTAACTTGCAAGCGGGTGAACAAACTCCACAAGTACATTTTAACTTACCTGCTGGGAAATCAAAGCTACACAGGAATATACTTCTTTGTGTTGATGAACAGAAAGCTATTTCAATCTCCACAGAAGTGCAACTATTTAGTAAAGGAACTTTACAAAATAGAACACCGTTTTTGCTTCTTTAGCAGATGCTCCGATTCACATCTGCGTTGTTTGCCCTGCTATATATATTCCCAGCTGCCCAATAATTTGTTAGCTCTGTCTTTGTACAATTTGGCGGACATATTTTTGCACGACTGGGAGGAGTTTACCGCAAAGGGTGAGCCTGTCAAGGTGGTAAATGTACAAACAGAAACAAGTGAAAAAAAAGGAGTCCAGTGCACCCAATTTAGAGCCTCTAATGAAGCGCTGTTTGTCGCAGCTAAGGTGCCCACGGACCAATTTCACCGCGATGGGACACTTCACCGTGATGAGACACCTCACCATGATAAGGAACTATTCCATGCGCAAGGCAGGAGAAACCCGTCAATCTGTCCTCGCAGTCATTCCCCTTACGACGTGAACAAAATAGCAAATGAGCACATGTTAGGGGAACCGCCCGGGCAATCAAATCTGGACGATGCGCAGGGAACGAACTCCATTGTGAACACCATTCTGAGAAGAGACAAACATGGCATTCCCTTCATGTCCCTTCACGTGTTGTGCTTTCTAAATTTTAAGTTATTCCTTTGCATCTTCATGTTTAGCAATGTGGATATCTTCGACTTGAAAAAAAATAAAGAAAATAGTCCCACTTATGTAAACATATATTTTTTTAAAAAATTAACCAAGAAGTTTATGCCCTCTGTTTATGAAGCATACTTTGGAAGCAGAGCTCTTTTGAAGGCCAAATTTAAAATCAAGTTGGAAGAGGAAAAGGGCCAGAACAAGGACTTGTTCAAGTTGGCCATCGGAAATTTAGCGAAATGTGGGGAGAACTACCTCAAGGTGGGGAAGCAGGCGAATGCACTTCAGAAGGGGAGATCACACAAGGGAACAGCGGACGGCTCTCACAGCCTATGCTTCGAAAACATCCCACTAGTCAACAAAGTGTGCACTGGCCGCTCGAACCGCACGGATAAGAAGTCCAATTTAGTACAGGTCATCTCAAAGATGAAAAAATGCACTTTGTCTAAAAAAAAAATTCACCGTTCTGTGATGCAGTACGAACATTGTTATGATTCTTTCACCTATAACAAAGACCTGTCTTTAAAGCAATTGCTACAACAGACAGTGGACGAAAATTTTTTCAGAACACACTTTTTCCCATTTTCCATTTTTAACAATATTTTTAAAAGCCAAAAAGATGACCTGTCATTGGAGCGTATCGATGAGGCTGCTTCGAAGGAAAGGGAAATAAAAGAGAACCTTGACGGAAAAGCACATTCAAAAAAGAAGCGGCGTCTCGATGCGTATCGCCTATTTTGTAGTGACTCCCTCGCTGAAAATAAAACATTGAGGGGAATGTACAACTATAAGACATTCTTTTCGGACGTGAGGAGGGGCCAAAAGACAGACCATTACGAGAGTTATGTGGCAAAAATTAGGGGCGGTGATCTAAAAACGGGGGAATTGAACAACGCTTTGACGAAATATACCTTTTATAATGGACATTACAAATGTTACTATGACGGTACGCCTGAGGATCACACAGAAGGTGGCCAGAATAACTGCAGACCAGTCAGCAAAAACCGCTTCTACTTTTTAAAACATTTTGATGTGAAACATTTTCTGATTTCGTGTCAGCCGTTGGTAGCATACCACATACTGATCATTAACCATGTCCATTACAAAAACAGAAGGGAAGGAGACTTATCAAAATACCTATATATAAATAACTTCGACACGAAAGTGTATAACGATTATGTTCTAAGTAGCAAGGTTCACTTACCCCTAAATTTAGCAGAAGGTCTAAAGAATATCATTAGCGACTTATGTTTGCAGCTGAGTATATTCTACTTTAACAACAACGATGTCCTGTGTTCCGTGTTATGCTTCCTACATCTGTGTAATGTCAACATTGAAAAAGTGAAAATGTACATCCTTTCCATGAAGAGTATATATTATTATTTTAAAAAGAACTATAAGAAAAGGTCCTTCTTCGACAAGTGGGCAAAGAGCTGTATGGACTTTCTTAAAATGGGTAAATACACCCTTGATGATTTTTATAAACAGAGGAAGAATATATTTTACGAAAGTTTTAATCTCACAGGTATCAATTATTATGACTTGTTTGAAAAAAGCTTTATCGAATTGATTGTCATTAAAATGTTTTTAGATCTCTTCAAGGAGGGGGTACAAGCGGACGTGGACGTTACTCCACAGAAAAGGGCAAACAAATGGGTCACGCAAAATAGCGTCAGCACCAGTGAGACGCTGGTTCTTCCACGCAAGAAAGACGAAGAAACGGGAACAACTGTGGAAGTACCCATTGCGGATAAGTACACATATATAGAAGAAACGCGTACGAATATGTGCGATGAGAGGGGTAAGCGCGACTTGTCCGTTTTGTATAACACAGACACAGATAAGTTACTCGCACGTGGAGCGAATCAACCTAGGGGAAGAAATATCAACAGAACGAATCAGAGCATAACCATTCCCGATGAGGATGAGATAACCCCGAGAGGAAACATGAATACGTACCATTTAGAGGAGACCAAACCGGGAAAGCAGGGCAACAGTGTAGGGGTAGGGGCAGATTACTACACAACCAAGCCGGAGTCGAAAAACATGTTCATCCTGATTCTGTTAGAAAAGTCCATACAGTATAGAATAAGGGAACAGAAAAGGAGGAAGAAGAAAAAAAAATACTTTAACGATTTTTTAAACATCATTTCGCTCTACTGCAAAGTGAACAATGTGCACCAGCCCCTAACATTACTACACATTTTGAGTAATAAAAATGACATTTTTATATTCTTCTACGAATGTATTGATAAAAATATAGACATTAAGACTTGCCAAGACATTGTAAATTTATACACAAAAAATAAGCACACCAAAAGGCACATACTGACCTTCTTAAATCATGTTCAAAAAAATATGAACACAATAATGAAGTATCAAGCGAAGGACAATGCACACAATTTGGAACACCAAAGTGAAGAAGCGGAAAGCGGAGAAGGTAGGGATAACTGCAAAGATGAAACCCTCAATAATGGCAACCCATATAAATCTACCAACGCACTGCTGCAAAGGATTGAAAGCGTCTTCACGGGGAATACCCATTTTTACAATCGCGAAAGTGGCACAATGGATGCGGGAAAAACAGTTTTGGAGTTACTCTACCATTTGATTTACAACAATTATGACTACAGGCGTGTGCAGCATGCTATCGAAATGGTTATCAGGCATAATACGTTTTACACAAAATTTTACATATATCTCACGGCTTATGTGCAGTTTATTTTTAGAAGCAATTTTCCATACCTCTTTGTAGACAGGTGCAAAAGGGCAGTAGCGGTAATGTCAACGCAGAAGCATGTTAACCATATCCAGCTAAACATGAATGAAAAAATTTTTGGAAGGAAATTTTACTCATATGATGATGTTCACAATTTTATAGCATTCTTTAAACAAAAAAAAGCACAATATACCAACTTAAAGGTCATGTTAAAAAACATGTGGTTTTACGTACAAATTAGTGGGTACTTATTATATCTCAAAGATATGCAACTTTTAAAACTGGACAATTTGAAATTTTACCACTGTGTGCATAATTTAGGGGAGTACCAAGTGAAGAGGATGGATGTCTTTTTCGATGTGATGAAAAAAAAAGAAACAACATATGTGCTAATATTTTTTCTCCTTAGCAATGGTATATACAATTTACTGGACAGATTTCTCTACATCTTTTATTTTGACAAACCCATAGTTTGTTTCTGTAATTTTGTGCGATGTGTTCGAGAGTGTCACTTTGATCGGGCGCTGTATTATCTGAAGAAGCATTACAACAAGTACGTTAGGAGGAGGTACACAAATGGAAACAATTTATATTACTTTTTTTTTAAGCACCTTGTAAATTATGTCTTGATGGAGCGACCCAATACGAGGTATACAAATCGAGTGAATAGGGGGCGTCCCCGTCCCTAGAGTGTTCCACCTTTTTTTTTTTTTTTTTGAGTGAAATGTGATATCACCTACGCTGTGTTTACCCGCTGCCCTCAATATGTTACTCATTTGCTCACATGGTAAAAGTAGTTATTCTCATGTATGTTACGGCACTACGAATGTTGTGCTCAATTCCTTCCCTCTGTGCAGACATATCATTTTGGAAATGCTTGTACGAACAAGGCAAGACTGCAAATACGATTTTGCCTTTTATGCGAATAACGCTCTGGTAAACGTAGACCTAAGGAAGGATGTCCTCTTGATCATTTTCGATGCATGCGAAGAGTTAGCAGATAGAAACAAATTTGAGAGGGCCCAAAAAATGCTTTCTGATATTTATGCGTCTATAGAAAAGACCTCCTTGAAATATGCTTTTCCGTACAACAAGGAGCACATCACATTGAGAAGATTTGTGCTGACCCATTACATGTGTTTTAAAAACTTTTTATTTATCATAAGGGAGAAACATTACGTGGACGACTACCTAATTGCACTGTATAATGTGTCCCTCTCCTGGGGATACTCAAAGGTAATCTTCCTCATCTTTCTTTTGAACTACTCATACACTTTTCAGTCCAAGCTAAGTGTCTATGATCAGACTACCATTTTGCTACTCTGTATATTTCTCGCAAATATGTTGAGAGGACAATCCAACCAGGTGTGCAAAAAGGTTAACAGGAAAAAAAAAAACATATTCCTGTACGTGGAGGAAAAGATACTGTCAACTAAAAAGCTGTTTAGTAGGAACTCTAAAGGAAGAAGCAGGAAGGAGAAGGAAAAGAAGAAATGCCCCGGGCTGTCCATCCTGAACTTCCTCCCGCTGAACAATGAAGAATGCGAAAATTTGTTTCTTTTTAAAGACTACAATGAGAATAGAATAAAATATATAAAATATCATGAGGACACCTTTCCCAACTTTGAAGCAGACAATGAGCATGTGCAGTTTCGCGATCAGCTTTACGACTACGAGAGGAAGTTCTTCTACAATTTTGAAAGAAACGTTCAAATTGTTAAGCACCTGTGTTTGAGTAAAAAGACAAGAAACGACCTGAAATTGAAAGTATTGTATTTACTGAACTTATCAACAAGGGATAAAATTCCTATACAGTTTAACCAACTCAGTATACCCCAGATAAAATACATTTTAAAAAAAATCCGGACGCACAGAAATAAAAATACAGTGATGCATGTGCACAACGTCACTAACATGGGAATTCCCCCATGTGGAATTACAACAGAACGACAGTTAAAACGGATAAGTCAATTATACAGAAAGGGGGAAGCACCAATTGGTGAAAATGGGACAAATGTGAATTACGTGGGGAGTACACAAAGGGACGTTCTACCACAGTCCACTCAGGGAAGAAACTCATATGGGAACAGCACCGTGCTGAGGGGGATGCCTATTGGACAACTCGCTAACCGTCATGATCGTTCCACGTATGGCAAAAGAAAAAAGGAAGCCATATACTCAGATAGTGGTGATATAGTCCCTAATCAATTAAAGGACATCGGGAAGGAGAAACAAAAGGAAAATAATTTACATGATGAAAATTTTATTTTCAGGGAAAAGAATCATAAAAGTTTTGCAAACCATGAGGATAATATAACAAATTTTGTGAGCATTTTTATATGTATAAATAATTTAATTAACAATTTTGATGTTATCACTGCGCAGAGGATAATAGACAAGTTTTCAATTTTGAAAATATACAAGGAAATAACAATTGGTGAAAGGATGATGCTAAAAAAAGACGAACCCTGGAAAGAGTCATTTCGACATAACACAAAAAATGGTAGCAACGCGCGTAGAAGTGACCTAAATGGCGATGCCAAACGAGAGAAGGGAAGCACAAATATACACAGGAGAGACATATCAACGCGGATAGAACCGCCATCCATTTTTGAAAAATGTCTAAGTGATCGAAACGATGAGAAGTGGCCTTCCCCTTATGATCCTTTTAGAAAAATAAGAAAATATTCCCTCTTTCATAAAAACGATATTGATGCAAAAAAAAATCTGGAAACAAAATTAAGCATGAAAAGTAACAAGTCTCATCTGCACATTGACGATATATATAAGTTCATTTACTACAATTCGGCTTATGCCCTCGTTATATATTACTGTTTGTGTAATGGCCTCCAATCGGGAGAAAATCTCACGAAATTATTATCCCCCAAGAGGGGAAAAAGAACTTCCAACTGGTTGGAACACCTATTTGAGACAACCAAAAAAAAATGCAGTTGTGATATCTATGCATTTATTCTGAGGGCGGAATTATTACTTACCATTAAAAGCCGAATATGTGGAATTAATGGTCTTATAGCAAGACCCATGTTGCATCAACCAAATGTAGACCCTTCCCTGTTAACATTATACTTTTACCTTCTAAAGAATTCAGTTAGCCTAAATGGAACCAAGGCGTTCGATACGTCCTTCGTATTGAAATTCACGTACCTGTTTAAAAGCAAAATGAATACCCTTGCTACAAATTTACTGATTTATCATAACTTTATTTTATTCCTTTTAAGTAGCTTGCAAAAGTACAGTTTGCGCGAACGTCTTGATAACAGACACGTCACTGAGAGTGCTAATATGGCTATATCTCTGCAGAAGTGCACCCGGGAGAGGAAAAAGGAACAGAGGGGGCACTCATATTCGCAGAATGGGGTGGCACAGAATGATACTTCCAAGAAAGACACCGCGAAGACACAATGGGCGGATAGAATTTTCCTTTACCACGAATGCTCCCACGACTTCTTGAGTGAGTACACAAATTTGATATTGACCGATTCTTGCAACTGGTTATGTGGGAGGTACTACTTTAGGAGCCTGTTGGATGTCTACTTCTGCCTGTTGCGCGTGATGATAAGGAATGGGTGCAAGGGAAAAGGGTCACGGGGTAGGAGGAAACGAGGATTCTACTACCGCCAGGGAGATATTCTCAAGCTCATGGAGGGTATCAAAAAAGGAGAGCCCAATTTTGCAAACATGTTATGTTCCAAGCTGATTAGCTTCTATCGAAAGAATTGTATAGTCTTACCCGCAGAAGTAGAAGTAGAGGTGGTTATCTTTTTATACAAACTAGCATGCAAATTCACGTCCGATGTACACATCACATACATTATAAATTTGATCAAAATGAGAAGGCACAGTTATGTAAGAAGAAAAAAATGGCACCTCATTTTTCGACTTTTGGTAAACATAAACGAGTATGACAAATTAGACTTCCTTTTTAAACTAATCTTTGAACATATGTCCATTTTTGATTTTTTAAAATATAACAGAAACATGTTTTTGTCGCTGAATGTTTACAATTTCAATTGCGACCTTAGTGTTTCCCTCAATAGCAGCTGTTTATTGTACAACCAAACATTGTGCAAATTAGGTCCCATGCGTGGAGGGGTAAATGATTATTACCGTGCAGAGCGGAAATCTGGGGTAAGTGCATCAGGGATTACCACCCAAAGGGTACATAACCACTCGGGAGATGACGATGCTCCAAATAGAGGCATCATTAGGAGAAGAAAAAATGCTCAGGTGAATGTTAGAAGCGGCGGTATCAGCGCCAATAATCGCCCCAGTAATCGCGCTCTGCAACGCAGCGTAAAAATTAAAAGTGAAAAAGTTATGCACTTAGTGGATGCTGTGCACAATTTGTACAGAAAAGAAAAACAGGAGAAAAGGAGGGCAGAGCAAAACCAAGTAAACATTTCGTACAACTTTAAAGGATTAAAATTTTCAGATTTGATCAATTTTTACGAAGAGAATTATGTGAAAACATTTGAACAGAGCAAGATGATCCCTTCCGCTACTCCTTTTATATTTTATGATGACCATTTGTTTGTCTACATATTGTCCTTGTACGTGGTGCACTACTGCAAGTTTTCTAAATGCGACATGGAAATATTAGCACGGGTTTATAAACAAGTGGGACTGAAGCATGAGTTGTACGAACTGCTAAGTCGGGAAGCGAATAGCTGTGTGCAAAGTTTAAAGGGAGATAAAGATGTTTTTGACCTATTGCACGTTCGTACAATAATCGTTTGCATAAACCTGCTACACCATTGCGCTCTCATATCACTAGAAATGACCAATTTATATGAGTACCAGACAACCTTGAACGATATTTATCTCCTAATTTTGCAGCTCAAATATGTATATTTACACAATAAGCTACATTTACAACAAAGGAAAAGCAGCAATTTTTTAGCTTATTTCGACAAATGCATTGTTTTCAACAATTTGGGACGTAAACAATTGTACGAAAAGAGCTTTGAACAAATGTTTGATCACGTCGTGCAGGAGAACATTCCGATTGGCAACTACAAAATAAACTTCCTCAATTTAGGTCTTGAGGATTTTATTTCTTTGGTGGAGCAACACCCCGTGTTTTACGAGACGCTGATTTTGTTGAAGGTACGGATCTTCACCAATATTGGAAAAACGACATGCCCACGCAGAGAAGGGGTGGCTTCACATCCGAGCAACACATACGCTCTAAATAAGTGCATTCATATGGGGAACTGCCCCACCGCGTCCACTATGCACATATAGCTACACACATCACGAGTGTACAAGAAGGTCACACTTTTACAAAAGTAATTATATGGGCTTCGCCACGCACGCGCGCTGATATACACACCGAAACTTTTCCCTTCCCCTTTCTTAGGCGTATGAAAAAAATTACGACGACCTGGTGTACGCGTTTATACCCAAAATGTTATACATTCAGGTTATCCTTTACGGCAATAAAAAATATTTAACGGACTACTGTTCCTACAGTTGCGTCGACAACAACACCATAAAATACGTGGCTAAGTTATTTCAAATTAACAGCATTCACTTAAAATTTCATAAAAATTTCCCAACCGAAAAGTATAAGTATTTGAGTGCCAAGAACGACGTGTTGACGTTTGATTTTTCGCGTTACATTTTATCCGCAATAAATATACAACCAACTCGAGAGGAGGGAAAAGGAACAGTCTGGGACTACGTCCATCATGTGCGTTCGCTGAAGCACTTGCTGGGCCAAACAAGCAATATCGATTTGAAAATGAAGGTGAGACAGGAGTTGCCCCTGCACGTGAATGCAAGCGCGTAGCCTTGAAAATAACATACGCACGAAAATGCATACGCGCAAAAATGTACACACGCAAACATGTATACACGCGGAGTGCGCAAAATTTATATATATACATGTTTAAACCTTGTAAGCATCTCAACCACGCGTGCACACTCGGTGACATACATCCGCACATTCACGAGCCAACCCTACTTGAATTCCTTTCCATTCAGGTTTGCAAAAGGCTCGGACCCGACTTTGATGATTTGTTTTGTGAATGCAGGAACATTTTGAACTTAACGATGAACTAGCATAGCAGGGGAAAACAGGCAACAAAAGAATGCTACAAATAAAAGCAATAAATAAGGGCAAAAAAAGGGGGCTCAAAAATGAAACACACTACACTTTGTGCTGCCCAGCATGCGAGAACAGAAAAAAAAAGGGATAAACTTTTTTTTTTTTGTCGCGTTTAATATTGTTCATATGGAAACATAAACACGTTGCAAAGCGTACAAAAAGGGGTAATTATAAAAAATTAATATATAAGCATGTTTTCCTTCCCTAGCCCAGTCACATTTATAATCACACTGCGCAAATAATATTATGTAAAACATCAAATGCGCATTTTTTATTTGTCCCTTAAAATTGTACAAATAGGCTACAAATAAGGCATGTATTAAATTAGTAGGCTAAATTATATGATTTTTTTTTTTTTTTTTTCCATTTTTGTGAATCTGCGAATTTGAGAATTTGCTTGTTTATTTTTTACAAAAAAGAGCTTTTTCCCTTTTCCCCTTTTGCGGTGTGTTAAAAAGTATTTAAGTATATATATAACCCAATAGCATTATCCAGTGTATTTGTACTGCATATATACATAGTATATATGTAATTATGCATGTAAATTATGTATGCCTACTGTTTAATATACGCCCTGCACATTTGCATAATGCCATATTTGGAAAAAATGTTTCGTTGTTAAATTTATGTCTTGTTTGTTTTTTCGTTCACAAAAAGCAGTGGATTCATTCTTTTTTGTAAAGCGTCCATATACCTTCTACCAGCCCGTCGACGCATATGCGCGGGAATACGTTATTATGATATTTATAATATACGTAAATGAGGTATAGCAAGTATACATAAGTACGTACAGAGAGTTTTGTTCTGTACCGTGAGTATATATACGTATAATATATATTTATATGTGCCTGACAAATAATATGCAAATAAATTTGTATAGCATTTAGTATATATAGTATACTTTATGGTACGTCATAAAGATAGTGCTGCATTATAACTTTAATGCTATACGCGAGTGACGGCATATACTAAAAAATACGTGGCAAAAATTATGCATACAAATAGAAACGAGTCCAAATTTGAGCATTTGTACATACCACTTGAATATTATTGAAAATAAATATTCCTAAGTTTGTTGTACCCATAAAAATAATCGCGTATGGGACAAAAATATATGCTTGTATGGAAAGTATTTATTTATTTTTTTTTTTTATAAGAGTATACTATATCTTCCAGCAAGATTTTCCTTTTTTTTTTTTTTTTTTTGTTTAATAATTCTTCTTGTCATTAAGAATACTGGCACTTGTTTTCTTGTGATTTATAATTCATCCCTCGTGGGAAAAATATCCCCCCAATTGGGGCAACCAGCGAACAGAAGCCTAAGCGAAGCAAAGCAACAATGAAAAAGCCTGGTCACGATTAAAACCGTGTTTGTTTTTAAATGTATTTATACTTTGTTTATCCCATATCCTACTGTTTTTACGCCTTTTTTTTTTTTTCCCCTCCCTCTCTCATATGTTTCACAAATCTTTATGCGGCAAAAAAAAAAAAAAAAACATAACGCTTGATTGGCCATAGGAGAAGTTGCGCGTGAGAACCAACTTATGTTAGTTGTATGCCCAAAGGGAAGTTGCATTGCCTAGTTATTGTACCGTATCATCGTATGAATGTATACATCATTATAGAGAGAAAGCCCGAGTTATATGTGCGCGTACCGCAAATTGCAAAAAAAGAAAGCGAAAAAAGGCAGTCATAGAAGGTGTTGTTAGTGGTGGTTGTAGGCCCATCGCACACGTAAAGCACAGTTTACTTGAATCCCCCTATTCATCCAGCTCCATTTTACATTAACGGACTGTGCGAACAGGGGGCCACGGCGGTGGGGCAAAATGGAAAAAGTGATTAGCATGCGAGAAATAATAACAAACACCAGAAAAATAAAATTGCACGAAAATTTTTTAGAAGACTGTAACTTGAAAGACATATTTTACAGCGGCCTGGAAACGGTAAACTGTGGTTACAATGATTATGTAAATATCAAGACATGGCTTTTTGTGATAGCAGAAAAATTATTTTCAGATGATTATGAAGAACTGGCCTATGTAGCATGCGACGCCTTAAAGGTGTTGCTCTGCAACAACCGATTTTTAAATGTAATTATGTTTAAATTGTTAAAAAAGAACCTCGAAAAGGATATACTCAAAATAATGGGCATTTGCTGCTTAACAGTTGCTTCCAGAATGCAACAGATAAATGAAAGCACCTGTTTTAAGGGAATATTAGAAATGCTACAATTAAAGGATAAGATAAATGAATTTAACATCAGACAAATCGAAATAGATGTTTTTGTTTCCTTGGCTCATTCTGGATTCTGCTTTGAAAAAATACTCACCCCCGTAAATGAAATGTACCAAATTATGAGCTTTTTGGAGAGATATCAAGATTTATTTGAAGGCGACGATTTTCATTTATTCCAAAGTTCGAGCAACTTAATGCTGCGAATTATTTATTGTATGGTCCCTGTATTTAATATGAACATTTATAACTACTCCATTGTTAATTATGTGTTACGATTATTTATAAGAGATAGCGAAAAATATAAATATGTGTGTGAAAAGTTGAAGGAAAATTACAATGATAAGGAAATTATTGATATCTCCAATTTTCAAAATCATATGTTGAATATTATCAACGCGTTTAAGAACACCTCCATTTTTTCTGCCAAGGATTCCATACTGAACAAACAGAGTGACATTGAATTGTTTGACCACATAAGTCGAAGAATAGAAAACCAGTGGAATGGGTACAGAGATAACGACAACACTTGATGAACCCACCACCTACGTTGGGGTGAGTACGAGAAGCAGAATGTTTTTCCTCATTCGCCGCGCTGCAGATTCATCATTTGGCCGCATCTCTAATGGCACCACGCCACTCTTAGTGTTTTATTTTTTTTTTAAATGTATATATGCAAAGTAAAATATGTGTTACTTTTTTATAATTAAAGTTAAAAAAAAAAAAAAAAAAAGAAAGAAAGAAAAAAAATGGCATAAATATATGTTAAGCACCCACCGTCGTGATATGCACACCCCCTAATATGTAACAGCACATAACAAATAGTAGAACAAGACAACTGAATCGAGACTTTCTAAAGGGGAACGCAGACAGTATTTAAATGTATGCACGTTATACCATAATTAATCTTTTTTGTGTGCTTATGAATTAGTATTTAATTTATACACCGTCTTTTTAATTTTTTTTTTTTTTCTATATTTGGATAATTTTGTGTTAAATTGTAGCAAATTAATTTCTTCTATTTCGTTTGTTTCTTCCAAGAGTGTTTCATTCGTGGATTGTTTGTACTTCTTGTTTGTATTGTTTGTGTTGGGTACTTATGACATTATTCCTTTTTTTTTTTTTTTTTTTTTTTTTTTGAATACCATTGTAAATGATAAATTATTTATGATGTATTTTTTTTCATGTGGCTACCCTTACCAGCATTATAAATGCCAAATGTGTGCATATGTTAAATGATATATAATTATATACCCATTTTTTTTTTTTTTTTTTATGTATATTATTTTATATCTTCCTAGTGAAGGTGTACTACCCATATTGTGAATAGTTCTATGTATGGTTTATTAATTATACATCCCTTTGGTGTGAAAGTTATCTTAGTTTCACCTAATTAGTTTTTAATTTTTTTTTTTTTTTTTTTTTTTTTTTTATTTTAGTCTTTGTTTTTAAGAATTTAAAAAACATTTTGTTAAAATAAAAAAGCCGCACCTATTTTTAATAAGAAAATGGTGTGTATTTAATTGACAATACAGTTGATTTTGGATGGGGTGTAATAGGCCCCTAAAAAGCGAAGGGGCAAAGAATGAAAGCACCACTCACCTTAGCGAATAGCGTTATGTACGCTTTTTGACACCTTTGCCTAATTCTGACAAAAATGCTGATAATTCAGCGGTTACATAGGGATTATGCTCACCGGCATATGCCCTTAAAAGTAAAGTAGAATAGTGCGCAAAACTTTTCGGCAAACAATGAGGAGTAAGTGAAAGCAGATTTCGCCTTTTGACGTTCTTGACGGATGTCACATTTGCTTTTTTCTCCTCTTTTTTGTTTCTTTTTTCCTCCTTTTGTTCTTTTATTTATGGGTCCCCCGCTTCCTGTTCACAGTTACACTTGTCGCAATTCATCTGCAACGTAAGCCCAAGCAACAACGTTGGGGCATTTGTCCATGGGAAAACTTAAAGCTGCCAAGTAGGCGTCAGTATGATTGGGCTTGCAGCGGGGTTTCAGTTTTTCCCAAAGCCCTTTCAGATGAACATAGCGCTCCTCTCATGTGGCTACGTAGAAAGGGGGAAAACTCCTGACCGTATAAACTGGTCCCCAGCGAGGAGCCATCCGCTTTAGGCAGGAAGAACCCCGCGCACCTCTGTCCCTTTGACAACCGCATGGAAGAAAAGAGCTTTGCACCCATATAAATGTACCATCCTTATTCAACAAAACTTACCGAATGATGGAAAAAAGAAAAAAAAAGCGAAATGATGATAACGCCCGTAACGTTTATAAACTTAAAGAGTTGCTCGCCAATGATGAGAACACATCTGCTTGCGTCCAGTGTTGTGAAAGAAATTCATACGAAACTTGTAACAACATTTTACAATATATAAAAAAAGATTTGAACACCCCCTTGTATGTCCTTGACATTGCCAGTATTTATAATCAGGACAACATTGCAAAGTTCGTTAAAGACGTATTTGCAGAGTTTGTAAAATATATTAAAAAAGAGAAAGTGCGCAAGTCGGTCCTATTTCTTCCCTACTTTGATGACTGGGTAGTGTCCATAAGGGAGGACAGCAAAGAGAATCACTATGGCGATGATGAAGATGGCGATGCCCATGGCGGCAACCATGAACCAGACGAATCAGCAAATTTATTCCAAAAGGATGATTGGGAAAAAAAAAGGAACGCACGAGTTGTCAATATGCATATATATAACTCCATTTATTATTTAAAAAATAAGTTGCTAAAAAAATTAGGCAACAAAAAGATTTGTGTTAAATTAATCGGTTTACACAAAACAAGGGGGGCTTTCGACTTATATAATGACCTCTTTGATTGCAAGATAATTATTTCCCATTTTGTCAGCACGCCCATCCCATACTACATTCACATGAATGGAGCCATCCACAGAAGACTGTCAAGGAAGAAAAAAATTTCGATCAAAGATGTGTGCTCCGTTTTGTCTAGGAACGTGGATTATGTTGACAGTGCCTGCGAAAAAAATGTAAATCTGTTTAAATGCTTTTTTGCATATTATTACAAATTTCAAAGAGTTGTTATAAGAAGGTCCAGAAAAAGGAGACAAAGGACAAACTCGCAAATGATAAACGTAAATGCTCAAAGAGAAAGTCAAAGTTGCGAATCTTTAAGTACAAATTTTAAATGGGTAAATTGCTTCACAAATTTGAATTATTTTAAGTATCTTAGAAAGTATAAATATTTTTTAACAAGTAAAAAAAAAAAAAAATTCACGATTTTCCTTTTCACACATAGTGACACATACTTTTGGAAACATATTAGAGAACGATTGTACTCGCCTTTTTTTATAAAAGAATATATGTGCACTCTTCTTAAAAGGCACACAAAGTTCAGTGCCACTTGTACCTGTCCAAAGGGTAGCGTTGAGGGTGCTGACATGCCCGGGGTGGCTGACAGTGTAGACGCCACAACAGGAAACTTCACTCCTATGAACAACAGTAATAAATACTATGCTGTCCATGATAACCAAAATTACTGCCACAATGGAGACAACTGCCTGCATGTGGAGCCCTACCCAGTCAATTATGCCAAACAATGGGTAGACCAAACATTAATATGCAGTAGGATTATTCGAAAGGGGACATATGAGAATCATTTGGCGCCTTTTAGGAGACGGTTCATACTGAAAAATAGGTACCAGCGTGATGATAAGTACTGTGTGTACAATTCGCGGCCAAGAACTGCATTAAAATTTTATTTTAGCAAAATAAATATACCGAACATTTGTTTGATATATGGGGGCAGTGGAGTGGGGAAAAGCACCTTACTGCAATTTTTAGTTCACATCCTTAGCTCAAATTATAAGGACATCTCGTTTAGCGAAAAAGAAATGGCCCTTTCACTTCACAGCGCAGATGAAAGGGATGCAGGCGACGTGAGCAAGGACGGAAGAGCCAATACGAGTAAGCAGAATATATGTGAAAACAAAAGTACTGATTGGGGAGGAAAAAGGTACAGACACGCGTCGTATGCATCTCTCATGCGGAGGATGAATCTTCGAGAAAAAAAAAAAATATTTCTTCAATTCCAAAATGTGTGCATAATTCCATTCGAAAATCATCTGTTGGTAAATAAAACAATCGGGGAAAATAGCCGGTACATAAAAAAAATATTCACCATGGCCTTGAAAAATCAGCCAGCCGTTATCATTTTTGATAACATAGATCTATTCCTAGAGAAAAACACCAATTACAAACATCCTGTGGATGATCAAAATGAAGATGTGTACAAAAACATTTACATTTTATTAATACATTATTTGCGTACTTACGTGAATGGATCGAACAGAATAAAGTTTGTCGCAACGTGTAGTGTGCATCCCCAGTTTTTTAAATTTTCTTTCCTCAATTTGGTACATCGTATACTGTTCATTTCGTGACAAATTAGGCGGGGAGTGGCGCCCATACGCGTCTTTTTTTTGTTTCTCCCATTCGGAGTTTTTTTTTTTTTTTTTTTTTTTTTTTGTCATCACTCCCTCATTTTGTCACCTAAATATTGGCCTTTTTATGTGTACGCAACATGACGGACAGGTAGATCCTGTCCTATGCCGCAGAGAAATACTTTTTTTTTTTTTTTTTTTTTCCTTGTTAAACATTTGCACGCTGAGCATGGGCAAATGTGTTAATCTATCGTTGCGTCGGCAAAAAAAAAAAAAAAAATCCATAACGCAGTCCGTAATATGCTAAGAACTTTAACACAATAGAGGGATTCACTTTAATCACTTTTACAGCGTTCACAAGTTTTTATTTAGCTTAATATACATTCATGTTAGCGCCCCAACGGAAAGGAAAAAGGTGTGTTACATTAACAAGAAAACTCAGTTGTTCGCACAAGACGGGAGGTTTAACATACATGTAATAATATATGTGTAAAAAAAATATGCATGAACTCAGTAGTTATAAGTTATAGCAAAACCACCTTTGCGTTAATTTATTACAAAAGCGGTTTTGACATAACATATAACCTTAACTGTCGCAATCAGAGCATACGTAACGGCATAAATTTTACAGCATACACGACATTGTTAATTATAGCGATACATTTTTTTTTTTTTTTTTTTTTTTTTTTTTTTTTCTCGTGTGTCTATATCTCACTTTCTTATGATGGATAAAAATAGCTATACCCCTGGCGCATATATATATATGTATATATGTATTATATGTGTGCTACATGTTACACAATTAATTCTGATGAAGTGAAAAAAATTTCAAAATGTGTAAGGAGATAACGGTATATAATTGTGGCCGCGGTGAAAACAACTTAATGTTTTGTTATGTGCACAGCCAAGTCTAGAACACGGTTTGAGTATCCCCATTCATTATCGTACCATGAAACGATTTTGAAAAAGTTGTCATTCAATGCTAGACCAGCTTTCATGTCAAAAATGGAGGATCTCTTATCATGGACGAAATCTTGGGACACAACTTCATCTTCAGTGTAGCCTAATATTCCCTTAAGTGGTCCTTCTGCTGATTTCTTCATTGCAGCTGCAATCTCTTCATATTTCGCTGGCTTTTGCAACCTACACACTAAATCAACAACTGATACGGTACCGATGGGGACTCTGAAGGCAACACCAGTGAGCTTTCCATTCAATTCTGGTAACACCTTACCTACTGCTTTAGCTGCACCAGTGGAAGCGGGAATAATGTTCGTCAATGCACATCTGCCTGCTCTCCAGTCCTTTCCACCCTTGGATGGTCCATCAACTACCAACTGGTTGGCTGTCGAAGCATGGACAGTTGTCATCAGACCCTCAATAATTCCGAAGTTGTCATTAATTACTTTTGCAATTGGAGCTAAGCAATTGGTGGTACATGATGCATTTGAAACGATGGTTTGTTTTGGGTCATACTTATCATGGTTAATACCCATAACATAAATAGGGGTGTCGTCCTTTGGTGGGGCGGACATGATAACCTTCTTTGCTCCTCCCTTAAGATGTGCACTGGATAATTCCTTGGTCAAGAACACACCAGTCGATTCGCACACAACATCAATTCCGTATTTTCCCCATGGGATCTGTGACGGGTCCTTTTCGCTGTGCACAAAGACTTTCTTGTTACCAACGGTGAAGTAGCCATCGCCTGCGGCTATCTCTGCTGGGAATACACCGTGGACGGAGTCATACTTGAGCAAGTAACACAAGTGATTGATATCCATAAATGGGTCATTCACCGCGACTACCTCCTAAATGGTTGCAAAAAAAAAAAAAACGCAGAAGCGATCATGAGGACGGGGATCAAGCATGCGAACATTGGTGGGCCCTGAGGGGGGGGGCTTTTCCCGGCAGTGCAACCTTTTTCTCACAAAATGTAAATGAAGGGAACAAAACAAAAAAATACATACATTCCAGCTCGTGTACATACACGTGTATCATGGCTCTGTTTGCCGCAAGGCTAAGCACAGATCACGCGCATATCATAATTTCGAGGCGAGACATTCATGTAGAAAATGTAACTTTCACATTTTTTCATTTTTCCATTTATCATTTCTCATTTCTCATTTTTCTTCCTCGCGTAATGAACAAAAACTTACGACGTCACTCCTTTCATAAGCCGATCTGAACACCAAACGTCCGATACGTCCGAATCCATTAATTCCAATCTTTGTTACGGCCATTTTGTTTTGCGGGGATTGTTAAGTTGATTTGTGGAAGAAATATACTTATAAAAAGCAAGATTTTTAAGGATACGCTATAAACGCACAGTGGAAAGTTTTGGGAGAATGTCGTTTTACGAGAAGAATGCGTGAAAAATAAGTTCAAGCGAAAAGGATAAGCAAAACTGTGTTTATAAAAGAGAAAAAAAATATTTTATGTATTTTTGTATTTTATTTTTTGTAATTAATTTTATAAAAAATATTTTTTTTTAATTAAATTTTTCTTGGGGATACAAAAATAAATTTTTAAAAAATACCAAAAAATAACGCCCCACAAAAATGTTTTTTTAAAAATTTAAAGCTCGCTCTTTTCCCATGGGGCCATTATATATATATATATAAATTTCGACATACGACCACGGGGCGCTGCAAACAATACCAAAAAACGTGACACAAAGAGAGCAGAGAAAGAAAGGAATATAACCCCTCCAACGTTATAACGACACCACTTAATATAACCACAAGCATGCGCTTATGTAGCGCTTACCAAAGCGACACACATATATATAGAGAGGAAAAATTGGTGCCTGCCACAACGAGAAATTATAGTCCGTTATTTTGGTAGTATTCCTCAGGCGCGCATATGTACATATATATATATATATATATATGCATACGAGTATATTCACAATGGCTTCACGTGTACTCTGGCCTACCGGAACGTGCAGCATGCAACCGTAAATACCATATGCTGAAAATAAGCGGAGCATACGGGCGGCATATGTAGGGATGCATTCGCGTGCATCATGTGACTGGACGTGGCATATAAATTGCTGCAGAACGCGTTTTGAATGAACGCACCTAATTGTTTCAGAAACTGATATTAGCAAGCCACCGGCTTTTCTGTGGTAGTTATGACAAAAACCGTTTTGGATTCCTACGCGTAGAGGGGCACAATTTGAGATGACTGAAGTGGCGAGTGGCGAGCGACGAGCGGCAAGTGCGCATTTGCAATCTTCGACTCTCATTCGCTACGCGTAACGCGCTGTTTCGTCATATGGGGAACAGTGCAAAATTCGCGGACTCTACAGGCGGAGCCTGCGATGCGCATATCGTGCAATGCAATACATAAATATATATTTATATATGCTCACTCAGCTGTGGCGCAATTAGCTGCCTTCCCACGGTTGCACGATTTTGCAATATAATACCTTTGCTCTCACAGGAGCGGAACTGCTTTTTTATTAGCTGGCCATTTTTCTTTCTCTCTTAAAGACATGCTTAAAAAAGCCCCTACGATGTGGTTCATATAGCAGCAGTAATCATGATTGATGTTTCGTTAAATCAAAAGGAACGTTAAAATATGTTAAAAACATTAAAATAACAATTGCTTATAAATCAGCGAGGAGGCAAATTATTTAGGGGCTTCAGGTGGTTATCTCTTTCCCTGCTCCTATGTTCATATATAAAATTACTAAATTGTATTTTTAGCACCTTTACTTGCACGTTGCTTCATTTGCGCAGCTTCTTTTTTTTTTTTTTCCGTTATTGGTTACAACGTGTGCACATTATTTTTACCTTCGTTTGGACGGGATTATAAGGGCTGTATGCCATTGTGCATACATTGCCACATCCTTTTTTAGCCGCATGTGGGTCACTCCGTGTTGTATATAAGCCTTATGAACAATTTGGCATATGAAATTTACAAAAAAGTTACCATTTAGAGAAAAAAAAAAAAATGCAAAATGAACATAGCAAAATAAAGTAATTCTACTGCTGCATACTACTTGCGTTTTGTTTCTTTTTTGTAGTGCAGCCATTTTTGGCGTAAAATGTAGAAAGTTAACAGAGGCCAAAAAGAGAAAGGGTGTCACTTAATGTGTAATCGCAGTAGTAGCTTACCATTACGAACGTACAATGGGATTTTGCTGAAGTTGCAATGTAGGCACAACATATGTGAACGTTCCACAAGATGCACAAAAAGGGTGTATACGTAATATATGCGTACACGCTTAATCCATGTTGTATGTCACGTCTGTGACCTTTTATTTTTTGCTTTCCCCTCCAGCTTATGTGGTCCATTACAGCGATTTTTTTCGTTACACAAAGTGTAACAAACAATAAAATGATTTTAAAGTATGTTTTAATGGTGTTCCCTTTTTTTGTTTTTTTTCACTTTTTTGTTAAATTTGGTTTTATTTTCTCCAAATAAAGGAGAAAAGTTGTTCGCGCTTATTGGTATAGTATGGAACAATGTACCTTATCCATGGTTGCCACATTTGTTTGGAAAAGGCCCCGTCCCATGTGAAATAATTTTCTTTGAACAAAAAAAGGAGTGTAGTAGACTTGTTCATTTTTTTTTTTTTTTTTCCCCCGGCGCACAATCCCCCCAAGCTGAAGTCTTTTTCGTTCACTTACTGCAGGAGCAGCACGTGTGAGCATTTCACGGTGAAAGTTATTAAGCAAATTGTTTAACCTTTTCACATGTGTAACAAACGGTCCCTTTAAAATATCCCAACGCGGCTCTTGTGTGTGCAAGTCATTCGTTTTGCATGGGAACATAATTGATCAAAAAAAAAAAAAAAAAATCTCAAGACGTCATAGCGTGACTTTTGAAAAAGCCTTTTTTTTTGTATATATACATTTACGTGCCGCATGGGGGGGAAAACGTTAATCCCCACTTTAAGGGAGACTTATCCGAGGTCTTTTCCCTAGTGTATAATTTTCATGGCGTGTACAACGACGGAAATCATGAACTACCTGGGAAGTAGCCACTATTTCACGTTAAAGGAAAAAGAGTAACATATAAGGATACAACCATACAGCATGTATTGAGGGCATGTTGTTTATTTTCCTTCCACATTGCCGTCGCTACATCCAACTATTCTAATAATGAGTTCACGTGGCATATACACCAACATGGACATAGCGGAAATGGTAAATGCCTTCCTCACTTTGTATATAGAGTGAAAAAAAGTGAATCAAAACGGATGCAGCAAAAGTTACGGCATGATGTTCACTTTTTATTGAATAATAATCGCCCACGAATTTACACCTGAGGCGATTCAGAAGCACGCTATATGAGCAGGTTTTCCGCTTATACTAGTGCCAGTTATCACACCGTTGACACGCACACGCGAAGGCTTCGAAGGACGTTATGTATATAAACGTATATATGTGTTTATACCCATTTGGATATTTTAAAGTGCGCGCGGAAACAATTCCCATGTGAATGTTTCATTATTATAACTTTTGTTTTTGTTCATCAATTTTGCACATTGCCCGTATGGTCATAGGGGAAGGGGAAAAATATATATGTGCAAAAAAGTTTGAAGATGCTAGGGTTTAATATGCAGTCGTACTTACCAACATAATGATCATACAAAATGGTTATTAAGCGGGGGATAAAATAACGGCCTTTTTTTTTTTTTTTTTGTGTGTTTTTTTTTCTGGTTCCCCCTTTTTATAAAGCATAAAATGTGGAATTCGCTACACTTCATCATTTGGGCTGTCAAACATGATATTAGTTACGTCTGTTAGAAGTACGCACAGGTATGGAACCCACCCACATGCAATATGTGTAATAAAATTCCCTCAATTAATCGTATGGGGGAACAAAAAAAAAAAAAAAACCCAAAAAAAGAAAAGGACAACATGGAATAAGGATCCTTGGAAAAATCATAACATCCAATAAGTTATTACGTAAAAAGTATGCCTCTTAAATTTTGTACGCAAGAAGTTTTTCTTCCCCGTTTGTGTAGTGTACTGACGGAAAGCTCGCATATGTTCAAAAAGATTGATACACGTGCTATATACCGTAGGGAGAAGGTGTAAATAAAATAAAGGATAGGAGTGGTCACATTGTAATAAGTGTGAGGTCATGATAATATAAAATAAAGCATGCATATACATCATTTGTCGTGTTCGTTGGTGTGCCTTTTCACATTTGATGGGAATATCCTTCGTTTATATTAATTACACATAAATGCGGGTATTTTAAGCGGATCCGAGTTGGTTTGGGTACATGTTCACACTCTTTTTCGTCATTTTTTTGGTCAATTTTTTTCACATTTTTTTTTTGCTAATTATTTCACCATTCTTCTTGCCATTTTTTTTTTTTTCCCCATATCCTTTACGGCATTATTTGCGTCATTTTTTACCCTTTCACGAATGGAACAAGCGCAAATAAAAACGAAATTGTCGAAAGGTACACGGGGAGTGCCATTAATGTATCCTATGTTGAAATGACAATAACCCCTTGTTCCTGTTTTACATTTTCATAGCATACATAATTATGTGATGGGCTCCAATTTAGCGTAGGCCTTCTTTTTTTTTTGTTTTTTTTTTGTTTCGTTTGAAATGACACGCAGTTTGAAATGCAAATTTTCCTAAAGTCGTGTTTGGTTTTAAGATACGTAAAATAAGCTGTTACAGGGAAAGGGGAAATTTCCTTCCGCGAATGTTCCTCCGGGGAAGGTATATATAAACGAGGGTGTACGCTTAAGATTGTCCATAGGATAGAGCTTATGAACATGATTAGGTGCGCGCTCAAAAAAAGTACGCTCTCTTACACACTTACACCGCCAGCCCTTTGGAATCCTCCCGACCCCCGTTCAGCCGTTGAATGACAGCCTTTCTACTCACCGGTAAGGTGGTTACACGTGCAACTCAATTTACACAGAATTTACTTTAAAAAGAAAATCAAGGGTTCTAGTGTAAAATCATGGCAGGTGGTGGAGCTCTAAACAATTTATTTCCGGGATACAAGGACAAACTATGGCTCAAGCTTCCGTACCACGTAAGAAGGAAAAAAAGAGAGAGAGAGAGAGAGAGAGAGAGACGGAGCGCTATGTTTTGTGGCACTTTTATAAAAATTGTGCGCACACATGTAGAGGCACACCAGTGTACCTGCCTGGGCAAAGTATATCCCCAGCATGTATGTTATAAGTTGGAGGAGGGGATAACAGTGACGTGTCGCTTTATGCTTTGCCCAAATGGCAAGGTAACTGCAAAGGACGGCTTTCAGTGCTGTGTTTTTGATGTGACGCTTTTATCTCTATAGAGCATATGAATAAGAGCGAATCCAAACCCACATATGAACCACGCTTTTTTTTCCCCCCACACGCGCAGCTCCGCATTCGCCTAATTAAATCGTGGAACCGGGAATTCGAAAAGAACATATCCAAGGCGAAAATAAAAAACAACAAAATAAAAAATTTGAATTACTACCTACTGGACAAGTTCAAGCCAAATGAAAACTACAAAAACAGACACACGGATTATAAGAGGCAAATATGCAGAGGAACGTTAGTAGAGGGATGTGACTTTTTTCTACCAAATAAGAAAAGCCAAGATAGATTAAAAAATCACTTACAACCCTACACAGAGGAAGAAAGTGAAGAAAGAAAAAAACATAAATATTTAAATTTAAAATATTACATACTGTTTTGCTTAGGATTTTCGGTATTACATGACAGTATGCAATCTAGGCCAGTAGCATGGTGCATGGATTATGAACCACCCCATACCCCGCATTACCCATTTTGGTTTAAGTCCATGTTTCATTCGCATGACATACCAAGTGTAAGAAGAGGTTTTGAAGTTTACAGGCAAATATGTGCAACATGCCATTCGATGGAACAGTTACAATTTCGTAATTTGGTTAATGAGGTGTATCCAGAAAATCGAATGAAACAAATTGCTGCCTCGTATGATATAGAAGATGGTCCTGATGATAAGGGAGAAATGTTCACCAGACCAGGAATCTTAACTGATTCTTTTCCAAAGCCCTACCCAAATGAAGAAGCTGCTAGATATGCAAATAATGGTGCATCTCCACCAGATTTATCAGTTATTACCACGGCCAGACATAACGGACCAGATTATATATTTTCTTTACTCACTTGTTATCGAGATCCTCCTGAGGGAATACACCTAAGACCAGGGTTGTATTATAACACTTATTTTCCAGGAGGGTCTATTTCCATGCCCCCACCTCTACAGGATGATATGATTGAATATGAAGATGGTACTCCTTGTAACATTTCCCAGATGGCTAAGGATGTCGTCAATTTTCTAACTTGGGCAGCGGAACCAACACATGATGAGAGAAAATTAACAGGCCTCAAATTGGTGAGTGGTGCTTTTATTGCTATGGTATTAATGACTGTATGGCAGAGATTTTTCTGGACCGTATATGCTACTAGAAGAATTGACTTTGGAAAGATCAAGTACCTATAAAAACGGGGGGGTATCTCGAAGAAGCGTCTTGAACATGGGGAAAAAACTTATCCAAACGGGCTAGCCTTTTTTTAAGTAACCATCTGAAATGCGTACCTCCATATAGGCACTGGATACAAATATGGGATGATCGCCTCACTGAACTTATACACATAATGAAAGGGACACAGAAAGTCACAACATAATGGAAAATTTGGTGGTATGTATTACATTACACCTTTCGGCGCATCTTTAACCATGCATATTGACCTCTTCATAATTTTTTCATGCACAGACAGCGCTTGTGCGCACACATCCATAGGAGGGAGTGCGCATGTGGTGTGTTTCACGCCAGGCAGAGGACGTATCCCAATATTTAACAGAATGAATGCTCTGCAAAAAAAATAAAGTGGAAAAAAAAATGCTCCTTTTTCCTTTCACTTGCAGCTCCACTATGTTACCATTCCAACATCTTTCAAATGTGCATTTAAAAAAAATGTATATATATATATATTTTTTTTTTTGCATTTTAAATGGAGGTACATTTCCCTTCCACTACAATGCATATATATAATGTTCATTAGGGCACTTTCGACAAAAACGTTTCGAGAAATACTTGTTTGTTAATTTTAGGAGCTGCAGTTCGCAAGGCGTTTCATTTACAACGCATGCGTTGCTCCTTCAGTGCGCCCTTTTTAATGACACATTATACATTGCTATGTATTTTTCTTTTTTTTTACGTTTCACATTTTTACCTTGTGTAAGAAGTAACCAAGCGAAATGCATAAATGGAGTAAAAGGCATGTACTGCTGTGCAAGAAAAACCGATTTATTTTTTCACAGCATTAGAAGCGTTCTTTCGAATGTGGTTGCTTTAAGCCGTGGCGGAAATGTCCATGTGTGGAGGTTGGCCTTGCATGGCATGCTTGGAAGGCGCACTTGCTAAGAATATTTTGGAACCCCTATGTTTAGCCCTTTTTTTTTGGAGGATAATTATGGTGGGGCTTCCCTTTCGCAACAACCCCCTGCTACATTTTTTTGAACACACCTATATCGGCGAAGTAATATATTCGTGCCTAATAAATCATCGTGTGTGTAAAAATGGAGCATTATATGTGAGTTGTCCAAGTGGTCATATCCACACCGCTGTTTTGACATTTAGATAGGAAGAAAAATTAAATAAATGAAAAACACACTTGAAACGTGCTCTTGCTCCACCTATATGCACCCTTCAGATAATTACGCACATATGCATGGAGAGACGCTAACACACTGTTGTCATACGGAGCACTTTCTTAGCATAACCCCAGTGTGTATGTAGGGGTGTGTTAAACGGGTTCACATCCATTTCGATTATCCAAAGGCTGCATGCTATTTTTCATATCTTTTCTGCACATTTTTTTTTTTTTATAATTATTGGGTAGCGACATGAAGGTTAGCACAAGTTTATCTAAGAGACAACTAATGCGTAATGAATGCTGACCGCGCGGAGGGGGGGGGAAAAAAGTAAAATGAATTTCACCACAAAAATGATTGATGTGGTCATAAACAAATGTAAGACATTAAAAACTTAAAAATGGAAAAATTAAATAAACCATCGCCAACGGGGGTGCGGAGAGCAGGCTCGGTCGAACGCACGAGAATGTGCATGTGTGTATGGGGCGGCATAAAAGGAGAAAAATGGGGGAAATAAAAAAAAGTAGTAAATGCAGGAGAAAGGTAGCCGAAATAGTGGGTCGCCGCGGCAGGATGTCGAAACGGACAAGGCGCACCGAGTCAGCTTAGCACACGTTACAAATGAATAGGGAGCTGCTCTCTTCGAGCACAAACAGAACGAAATATGTAGAAAACACAATAAAGAGAGTACGTTGTAAGGAAGGCACACAAAGCTATGCACACTAAAAACATTTGGCCATTAGAAAACAAAACAAAGCTTTTAAAATGTTCGTAAGTCCTTTTGTTCAGCAAGACCCAATAGAAATCGTTGTAATCATTCTGCTTGTACTCCTTGTAAACTTTGGACCCTTCGTTGAAGTCTTCGATTAAAATGTAGCCAATTAAAAAACAAAAAAAAAATAAACCTATGAAAATAAACCCCATGAAGAGCTTAAATATGCGTTCGCACAAACATTGGGAAAATATTAAGAAGAAGATGAGTATCAGGCTGAACACGTAGAGTACTAATCCTATGATGGAAAAGAAGAAGATGCCGCTGCAGACGAAGATGCTCGCCAGGGTTATCAGGTAGGACATCGAGGGGACGTACCTGCGGGAGGGAGGGAACACCATGACGATGAGAGGAGCGCACCGAGAAGTGGAAGCACACGTGATGCACTCTCGTAAGCAAACGTGATGCGCGTGCATGTACATATGGAAATGCCAACTCAGTAATTTACATCAACGTAATCGCTATAGAACTGGTGGACGTCAGCGTGGCCCCTTTGTGAATATAAATGAAAGACATCATCAAGAGGGAGGATGCTAAAATGAGGATGTTCCTTTTTTGCAAGTCGTCTATATAATCATCCAGCTTAGCACTAGCGTTCTTAGCATTCACACTTTTAATTTTCTCAATCGAGTCGGAATATATTTTAATAATTTCATTTTCATGTTTCACTAAGTCATATTTTAAATTGTTAAAAAGTGATTTATTATAATGGTCAAAAATTTGCTGAAATTTTTCTGTAAATTTTTTTATTTTTTCTGAGCTAGATATAAAAGGGACAGAATTGTTTTCCATAAATTTGTAAAATTTATCATACAGATCGAAATTGAGACGGACATTTTTTATTTTTTCATACAATTCAAGTAATGTATTTTCCACTAAAATTTTCTGCGCGTTGGGATCCGATTCCCTTATGCTAGTAAACATTTTCATTAAATCATCCTTGGTTAGTTTTTTCAACAGTAATTCCTTTTTAGTGTCCAAGAAAGATTGACGATCTTTTATCATTTCTAACACCTTTGATGCATCAAATGTGGATGTATCTGTTAAGTCACCCATCTCTTCACTCGCGGCAGAGAGAGTTAAACTGTCTGCTGCTTGGATAACAACAGCTTTGTCGGCTGCGTCTAAATTATTTATTTTATTTAGAAGCATATAATCTGGGTGGAACTTCAAGGCATCCATTATTCCTATAATTTTTAAAGACGTATTTTTGCTTATCGAGGTGGTGTAAACTCCAGAGGCAATTAAAAATAGAGACACTATAAAGGAGCATAAATATATGGGTCGCAAAAGAGGCTTATAAATGAAGTGCCCTAATAATGAAAAAACAGACAAGGTTGCTGCTCCGATTAGATTATATATGCTTAGGTAATATATCATTTTGTTTTCTCCATCCGCCCCTGCCTTGTTGAGCACGCTCAGCTCATCTTCGTTCACGAAATGCAGCAGAAATATGGACGAACAGAAAATCAGGCTGACTCCCTTGGACCACGTTCCTATGGCTGCGTTTTCGAATCCCCCTTTTCTTCCATGGCTGCATAGGAAACACATCCTTCGGGGAAAGGGCACACGAGGGGTGGGTGTAGGTACGTGCGTGTACTTATGTAAATTTAAGCACGTAACGTGTGCATGCGTATTATACACACCTGCACGAAGGAAATGCATAGCTGTATGCGCACGTGCACGTTGGGCGGCCGGAAGATGCAACAAGTGGGTCTTGCGCAGAACTACAATCCATATGCTGCGCTGACACTGCGCCAAGGTTGTGAGCGTACAAACTTTACAACGGTGTGTGCTGCTTTGCACGGGTTACACTCAGTTGGGCGAACAGACACATACGCTGATACGCGCCTGTGTGTCTATGTCTACATTATGCCCGTTCCCTCCTTTGGATGCGTATTTCCCCATTTTCAACAAATGATGCTGGAGAAAAAACCAGCCCCCCCACCCTTTACATACACACCACACACCATTCTGCACATATGCACCTTTTATTGTCTTACTTGAAAGTACTCGGATTCAGTCTACTTCGCTTTGTGAGTCCCGTTTATGCATTTAACTAGTAGCCGTTTTTTCCTTAACGCGATTGGTACAATGTTTCGTGCTAATTACTATTATTGCGTGTTACTTTTACGTTTATATTTATGTGATTCCATGGACTTATCTAAGGCGCGCATATACATTGGTGTATATGCGTGGGAATGTGTGTTTTCGCTCTTCATTTAGGCAGCTCTTCCGAGAAACTCTCCCCCCCCCCTTTTTTTTTTTTTTTTTTTTTTTTTTTTTTTTTTTTTAACTTAAGCGTGTAACTCAAATGAAAATAAGCAAAAGTTATTTCACAAGTGATAAAAGACAAAGGGGAGAAAAAAAAAACATTTTCCCTATTTCTCTATTTCACAATTTTTTTTTTTTTTTTCTTAAAAATTCTGCCATTATAAGCGAGCTGCCTCAGTGGACACATAAGTGAGGATAGACTTGGATTAAAGAGAAAGAGCAAAAAAAAAAAAGGAAAAAATAAAAGGCGATAAAATTAATAAGCTGTTAATCGTCACTACTATTTGCTCTCATTATCGCTTTTTATATTATTCATTTTTAGCGCTATGAAGGAGCAATGAAGTGAGCGCATGAGCGATGTACCACATGATACATGTAAAGCGTCACGTTAGGGGCGATAAATGCACACACTGTGTTGTTAGAGAAGTGGCGACAAGTAGACAGACGTTTTTCTGGGCACACATAATATATGGGCCTGCCCGTGGGTACACGCTTATCTGTCCATATCCATATATGTGAAAAGGTGTGTACTCATTTGTTGCCTCTTTCTCTACTGCGCTGTGCTCCCTCGTAAACACTCCCTTGTGGGAGTACGTGGAGCGCTAGCTTACAACTTTGCATTTGAAATGGGCGTGCCGGCATGTCGACAAGTCTCTTGGAGAGCGATGTTTATGCATACACGAATAACGAGTTGCATAAGTGCGAAAAAAAAAATAATAATAATAAATTTGTGAAGTATCAAACATAGCGAAACAAACATATGCGCTTCTTTTTTTTTCTTTTAAATTGTTTTCCTCAG